TTTGCCCATGCATTTTTATGAAAGATCTGAAAGTGAGTTTGCTATAATTGTTTATGTTGATGACATAAATATTATTAGAACTCCTGAAGAGTTTACAAAAGCTATGGATTGCTTAAAGAAAGAATTTGAAATGAATGGCTTGGAAAGAACAAAGTTTTGCCTCAATTGCAAATTGAATACTTGAGAAATAAAGATTTTTGTGTATCAAATAATTGATATAAGAAAGGCCTTAAAGTGTTTTTATATAGATAAATCACATCTATTATATACTTTGATGGTTGTGAGATTTGTGGAGGTGAATAAGAACCTTATATTTTTGAGAAGGTGATGAAAAACTACTTGGTCCAGAAGTACCATATCATATCTTATCAGTTATGCATGATGTCACATATTATTTGCTGTTAACTTACTGTTAGATATAGTTCTTCACGAAAGACATTGGAATATAATTCTAGATTCCTTTTTTATCCACATGTTGTTAATTCCAGATGAAGTATTTCATGATATTCAAAAGATGGTGAAATATATATCTAGCAAATCCATTCCAGTGAAAATCTAGCAGATTTGTTCACCAAGTCACTTCTTTGTATGATATTTGAAAAGTTTGTTCATGATATCAGATGTCACAGACTCAAGGATATCAATTGATGTTATCAAGGGGGAGTTAATACACGCTGTACTTTTTTTTCCTTGTCTATGGATTTTTCCCACTGGGTTTTCCTAGCAAGTTTTTTTAATGAGGCAGCATCAAATAGTGTATCAGTGAATATGTACTCTTTTTCTTCTACTAGGTTTTTATCCCGCAAGGTTTTTCCTAGTTGAAGTTTTTAATGAGGCACATACATTATATAATGGACATCCAAGGGGGAGTGTTATGAATATTATAACATGTGGATGTCCATCTCCTCTTTTTCCTCTTCCTCTTCCTCTCAACTTCATCATCAATTCCCATTACTTACACTAGGCATTAATCTTCCACTACTCCATTACCTTTCCACTATGCTTTTACTTGTAACTCCCCCCACTCAAATTCATATGGTTTATTGTCCACTATCTATCATTTAAGTACAAATGTAACTTATGTGTAAAACTATGCCTATAATAAGGCATGTCATTGTATTGTGATATAAGTGAAGCAAGTGAAGGAATACAATATCATTCTCTCATTTTCTTGTCTGCTTCTCTTCTCCAATGTACTTTCATTGTTGGTTAATTTCATATCACAATGCTTTTTTTCTAAATACAATTATCTGCGAGGTATTTAATAAGCTTTTTATGATTTTATCCTTATCAGCTTAATAAATGTAAAGAAAAATAATGTAAATAGGTAAAAGAAAATATATATATATATATATAAAGTTAAGACGTATTCAACATCTCAAAATATTTTTCATGTGCGTCAAATACCATAAAGTCTTGGTATTGAATGCACCAAAAACTATTTAAAAAGCTAGACATACATAAAAAAAAATATTTTAGGGTATTGGATGTATCAAAAAGTACTTCATCATGTTGGGTGTATTTAAAAGATATTTCAGAGTATTAGATACACCATAAAATATTTTAAGGTACTTGATGTTCTTGAGAAAATACTTGGAGGTGCTAAATGCCCATTAACCTTTTTATAAGAACAAATATGAAAAAAAAAATATCAATTTAATACATTTATTGATTTGTGAGTTTGTGATCTAAGTGACTTATAAATAGGAATATAGTGGTACTATCTTTTGTCCTAAATAATAAATATAACAACTAGTTTGTTATGCAACTTATAGTATAAATTAGCTCTTATATTTAGAGCAGGAGGCACTAATATCACTCCACTTTTGCTCAAACCTTCTGTCCTTAATATTATTTGTTTTCCAACAACTAAATTTTAATTAACTCCTCGTAGTAGAGAAATATCTATAAAAGACACTAATTTAAATGTAAAAAATTATACTCTAAATACATCTCTCCCTTTTGCATTCCTTTTTACATTCAGAATTTAAAAACATCTGAATAAAATACCCTTCCAATCATAAATATACACTCATTCATTAATATAAATTATAATATAAAATAAGTTTTATATTTATGACACGAGGGAGTATTATTTCAGGTAAAAATATTAGATGACATAAAGAACATTTCATCATTTCCCCAAAAGCATTTACCAGTTCCTATTCAACTACCTTCCTCGAAAAAAAATTTCAGAATTCAGAAACATGCATAATTATTACTTCCTCCTGTTCAAAATTTTGTTATCAAATAACTGAATTATACACCTCAAAAGATTAATTAAAATTTATTAAAGACATTAACACATAAAAAGTGAAACTTTTTTCTTAAAATATCTTTATTCTTCAATATTTTATTCTAATAATAAATTTATAATAATTTTATTTTAGTGCTCTTTAAAATTTTTGAATTAGACATATATTTATATTTTATTATAATAAATGCATATTTATTTTTATAATTTTAAAATCCGAATTAAAAGAATAAAATTTCCTAAAAACTTAATATAATTGAAATAATTTTATTTGAACCAACTATTAAATATTTATTATTTCATAATTATATAAAAATTAATTTAAATTTACAATCAATATTTATATTTCAGTATCATTTATTTAATTAAGTTAAGTTATATTATAAATAAAGGATTAAGATGCATCCAGCACCCTGAAGTATTTTCTCAGGTGCATCCAGCATCCTAAAGCATTTTGTGGTGCATTCAACACCCCCGAAGTATTTTTTAGGGGCACCCTGCACCTTGAAGTATTTTTTTTTTGCCTTGGTACTGGATGCCCCAAAAAATATTTTTACGTGCTGGATGCACCTAAAAAAATACTTCAGAGTACTGGATGCACTACAAATTACTTCAGAGTGTTAAATGCACCCAAGAACATACTTCGGGGTGCTGAATGCACCACAAAATACTTTAAAGTATTGGATATATCTGAGAAAATATTTCAGGGTGCTAGATATACATTAACTCTAAATAAAGTTAAAAAATATAGAGAGGTGACGTGATTAAAAATCATGTAAAATTATAAGGATATGATAAAAAGAACTATTTCCTCTTTCCCTAGCTCTTGAAAAGTAATTTTCTTATCGTTAATCAACGACCACCTCTTATTCTAAAGTGACGAAGAAAACTACTGCATTTATTAATCTCTTATAAATCTCTGTGTTGTGAATGAGTTTCAGTTTTCACTCGGAAAAGAAAATTCTCTAAACATGCAATTACTCCATGCGTACATAACATGACTCATTTTAAATAATTTATCAAAAATAATAAATGATAATTAACTCATTAAATCTGTTTTAAATTTAATTTTTTTTAATTTTACCCATATCAAGTGAGATTGTAAAGGTCAGTTGGACATTGTCCAATAAAAACGTACCACCTCAATTAATTGGAGGCCCACAAGTCTTTGTGTTTTTGTTTTTTTTGCCCGAATTCTGCTACAAGTCGCTCATATGAAAATGACTCCCATAGACTGACAAAATGATTGAGTTGGTGTGTTTTTATTGAACAACATTCAAGCGACGTGGTGGTCTAAGAGCACCTAAGAATTTCTAGCCACTTGTAGTAGATGGGAGTACTTCCCTGTTGGTGTCGTTTTGCTGAGAAATATTTAGCACACGGAATTGCGTTTTGGATATGCAATGAAATCAAATAAATTGAGTCTCGTGTCTGTATTAATTCATTTTCCCTCCGGCTAGTCTGGGAGTATCTTCACTGTCTTCAGAAATATCACCCATTCCCGAAGAGATCATGGCTGCGTCATTTGTAAGTGGAGCTCTTCTCTCTGCTGCCTTCAATGTGCTTTTGGAGAGATTAACGCCTGAGCTGACAGAATTAATCAACAAAATCGGAGGAAAGAAGCGGGATCACAAGTTGCTTAATCATTTGAAGCCATCCTTGATTGCTGCAAGAGCTGTGCTCAACGATGCAGAACTCAAACAATTCACGGATCCTGCCGTGAAAGATTGGCTAGATGAACTCAAAGATGCTGTTTATGACTTGGAAGACTTGATGGATGAGATTTCCACCCGAGCTGCCACTCAGAAAAAGGTGAGCTATTTCTCCTTTGCTTCTCTTAGTCTGGGAGATACAAGCATGGCAATAAGTTAGAAGTTATCAGCGATAGAATTGAATATATTGTGGGGCAAAAAGATGCTCTTGATTTGAAGAAGACAACTGGAACGGGTCTGGAAACTCTGTCCTGGAGGTCTCCAGTTACATCTCATGTGGAAGTCTCTGAAGTGTACGGGAGGACGAAAGAAAAAAAAGATATAATTAAGCTGATGTTTAGTGGTGAGGGTGGTCCGTTGTCTGTAATTCCCATTGTGGGCATGGGCGGGGTAGGGAAGACCACCTTAGTTAATTTAGTTTATAATGATGTCAAGCAAAAATTTGATCTTACCGCATGGGTTTGTGTTTCTGAAGCATTTGATCTTTTGAAAATAGCACAGACCATAATAAAATCTATCGATCCTGATTTTGTCTGTGAGAACTTGGATTTGAATCTTCTTCAGCTTCATCTGGCGAAGAAGTTAGAAAGGAAAACTTTTTTAGTTGTTCTTGATGATTTTTGGAATGACAACTACAATGATTGGAATACTTTGAAGAATTTGCTTCACAATGGAGTGGAAGGATGTAAAATTCTTGTTACAACTCGCCTAGAACGTGTTGCCTTGATGGTCAAAACAATCTCATCATTTTATTGCCTAGATATCATGTCCGACAAAGATTGTTTGTCAATTTTTGCTACACATGCTTTCTATTGTAAAGATTCAACTATGAATTCATGCTTAGAAAAAATTGGAAGTGATGTTGCTAGTAAGTGTAAAGGATTGCCTTTGGCTGCAAAATTGCTTGGGGGACTTTTTCGATCAAAGCCTCACTTTGAAGACTGGAATAATATATTAAAAGGATCGATGTGGGATTCATTGGACGATAAGATCATTCCAGCTTTGAGAGTTAGTTATTATTATCTCCCTCCCAATTTAAAACAATGCTTTGCCTTTTGTTCTTTATTCTCGAAGGATTATCAATTTGATAAGGAAGAATTAATCTTGATGTGGATGGCAGAAGGTTTCTTGCAACCGTCAAAGCGAAATATGACTTTAGAAGAAGTTGGTCAAGAGTACTTTGATGATTTAACTTCAAGATCATTCTTTCAACCCTTATCACCTGAAACTGATGTGTACTTTGGGATGCATGATCTCATTCATGAGTTAGCAACTCATGTTGCTGGAGACTTTTACCTTAGATTAGGGGAGAATGGAAACAAAATTGGTAATAAGACACGCCATTTATCTTGCAACTTTCAATATTATCCATGCTTAAGTCGTGAGGTTTTTCAAAAATCAAAAGGCATACGAACATTTATAGGATTGGATTTTTTCAATGTCCCTAGGTCTATTGGAAATGCTTCTCATATTGTATCATCAAATTTGAAGCACTTGCGGATGCTGTCACTTGAGGGTTTGCGGTCCTTAAAGATAGTTCCTGACTTAATCGGGGAATTTATCCATTTGCGCTATTTGAATCTATCATTTACAAGTATTAGAAGTTTGCCTAATTCAATCTGCAAGTTGTTTAATTTACAGACGTTGAAGTTGCGTGGATGTTCATATCTTGAGATGCTACCAAGTGACATGAAAGATCTTGTAAATCTTCGGTATTTGGATCTATCTTTCTCAAAGAAGATTGTAAGTTTGCCCGACTCATTGTGCGAATTATACAATCTACAAACATTGCAGTTGCCATGTTGTGATTCTTTGAAGATGCTGCCAAGAGATATGCAAGATCTTATAAACTTGCGACATCTTGATGTAAGAGGCACTAACTTGAAAGAAATGCCGAGGGGATTGGGTAGCTTAAAAGATTTGAAAATTTTAAGTAAATATGTTGTGGCCGAAGACCAAGGGACCGGAATTGGAGAATTGGGAGGAATGTCAAATTTGAAGGGTTTGATTGAAATTAGTAAATTGGAGATTGTCAAGAATGGAAAAGAAGCCTACGAGGCGAGGATGATGGAGAAGAAGCACATTAAAGGGTTAACATTATCATGGTCTAGAGATGGTGACGTGGAAGACACACGAACTGAGAGAGATATTTTGGGAAATCTTCAACCTCATTGGGATTTAGAAGATTTGGAAATTAGAAATTATAGGGGCACGATATTTCCGGATTGGTTAGGAAGCCATTGCTACTTGAACATGACTATGTTGCAATTGGTAGGGTGCAAAAACTGTTGCATGCTTCCAACCCTTGGACGGCTCCCCGCTCTAAAGGAATTAAGAATTAATGGATTAAATGGGGTAAAAATAATTGGTGATGAGTTGTTGAAGGGAGATGATTGTGCTTCCATAATACCATTTCCATCCCTTGAAGTTCTCGATTTTTCTTCGATGACTTCATGGGAACAATGGCATTCCATTAACATGGAAGCTTTCCCTAAGCTCCAAATACTCAGAATATATGATTGCCTCAAGTTAATTGGAAATTTACCTCGCCAGTTGCTTTCTTTAGAAACTCTGGAGATTGATCGTTGTCCATTTTTTTGTTCTAGTATTCCGAGGTGTCCCAAACTTCATAAACTAGCGATAGATGGAAGTGAAAATGTGGGGTGGCAACAGCAAGAGTTACCTTCATGCCTTTGGGAGCGAGAGATTGTAGGATGTCGGATGTTGGAATCAATGGCAGAGCCACTCTCCAAACATTCGCATTTACAACAATTAACTATCTCTGGTTACTCTAATATATCACCTCCAATTATTCATTTGCCCCAGTCATTACAATATTTACGGGTACGATTGTGTGAAAATGTTGATTTTGTGATGAGTTCAACTGCTCCTCTTCAAAATCTCCAGTCTATCAGTATTGCATTGTGTAATTTTGTGAAATTTATGTGGGATGACATGGAAGGCCTTCTCCCGAATTTAAGAAAGCTAAGCATTGAGCATTGTGATGAGATGGAAGCATTTCCAGAAGGGATCCTTGTGGCAAGTTTGAGGGAACTTATTATTGTAGGGAATAGTAAGCTATTATCCCATCAAGCAGAGTGGCACCTCCCAAGTAATATCACTTACCTTCGTATGTATCGCTATAGTAAAGTGAAGTGTTTCCCAGAGGGGTGTTTTCTTCCTGCCACTCTAACCACCCTAGAACTCAATGGCTTTGATTGCTTGGAGACATTGCATTGCACAGGACTTCAACACCTAACCTCTCTCCAACGTCTAAAGATCATCTATTGTCCCAAGCTAGAGAAAATGTCAGGAGAAAAGCTGCCTGCTTCTTTAAGAAAGCTTCACATTTGGGGATGTCCGTTGCTTGAAGAAAAATACCTCAGCAAGGATGAACAATTTTTCCGCCAGATATCTCACATCCCAAACATCAATCTATTCACGGTATGAGATACAATTAATTATGGATCAGGTATTTATCGTCCACACTCATGTTCCCAACTATTGCATTTTATTTTCTACTACTTCATACATGCATTCACAGACCATTATGCTTCCATATAATTAAATTTTCCTCAATGGTGTTAATTTACTTGCATTGTTGGAATCACTACTTGCATAGGTTAATCTTTTGATCATTTATATGATACTTACAAAATCATTTGTTTCTCGATACGCTCTGGATTCCAGCTCGCTCTCTGTTTCTATAAACCTACCTTGCCTATTTTTCTTTACCTTGTTTTTTCATCTCTCCCCCCCTCTTACATAAGCTCATCAGGTCTATATATTATTGGAAATGACCATTTAACTAGCTGCTTATATACTGAGACAAAAAGCATGATTATTATCTTTGGAGATAAGAAAACAATTATTTTTTCAGAACAATCACGTGAAAGTGCTCATTGATAAAAATGAATGACAATTCTAGTAGTTCACTGTATTACTCGTGTTTAGTTTAGTTTTTCTTCCTATAATTTCATATGTTGCGTATATTCAATGACTTTATACTTTGTTTTTGTTATTTTCCTTTCCAAATTTTGACTCTTAGAATTAACTTAAAGTATTATGATTTGGAAAACTTCATGAACTTAATAGCGGCGGCAATCTCATATGTCTGTATTAAATAATTCTAGATATATTTGATGACAGAATGATGAGTTTCCATAAACAACTGATGTGGCTTAAATTATTATTCATTACTTTAGTTACTCTTATTACATATCCTGCACTGAAGCATAAACCATTTAACACCTTTACATACATAGTCCATCATACTCACATTTCCATCACTTCACAGATTACAGAAGCAATCCACTTGGTCTCAAAATTATGCAGAAGTGCAGATTCCTCTAAGCTTATACCAATCATGTAATGAGGAATTATTGGCAAAAAATAATCATGAAGGTACACTTCTAGACAAGTTTATGTCTACATAACAAATGCCATTTCTTGTTTCTTTTTTTAAATCTACTCTGATTGAGTTTTTCTTTTTATGGGGTTGTTGCAGATAGAGTCCAACATGGTTAGTTCTAATTGGTAAAAGCAAACCCAATGCTTCTTCTTTGCAAGGGGTAATGCTGCAATTAAGATCCCCTTCATATATTCCTATTCTAAAGAGGTTTGAACTAAACCAAAGCCTTTGATTTTCTTCTTTCTCTCATAATCTGCTTGTTTAACTTACTTTTCTATACCCTATATTTTCCTTTGATTCTTATTAACTAGACGATCTTCATTTTCATTGCTTTTTTTTTTCTCCTTCTCCCTCACTTCCTTGGGCTGTCTCTAGATTTATCATGTGCTTAAAATGCAGCACCAGCAAGAATGACAGCAAGGGATTTGCAGACCTGAAGTCTTGAACCTGTGCTGATGAAATCCATCCTCTTTCTTGGACAGAATATTCTCTGATTTTCTGGAATTTTTTTTTTGGTGGCTCGGGTGCATTATTATGTTGTTTTCAAAGAAACTTTTGGTGAAAGTGTGTGTGATGAATCTGTATTCTGCATATAGTGGCTTTTTTTTTCTGCTTGCTTAAATGTTGCGACGAAGATGTGTATAATTTAATGTGAATACTTATCACTTGTAAAATTCTCAGGCCTCATGCTTGGGGAGAGGATATAGGATTCATTTTTTTTTTATCCGAACCTCTATATATCGTGGTGTCATTCTATTATATTTAAATCATCGAAGGAAAATGATAGTTTCAAGAAATCAAGCATGCTTGAAATCAACGTTACTACACTTAAGTTTAACGGACAAAGCACAAGCATGTTTAGAAAGCTTTTAGCTAATATCCAGACATTTTCAATACAATTTATATATGCATGTGGAATTATCTATCTGTATATATCTTAGAAAATAACCAGTTGAGTTGATATATAGAGTTTTCACAATATAAGATATCACAAACAAAGCTCATATATAGAAGAAAGAATAATCAAAATTTCGTCTCTTTTTTTCCCACTCTTTATCTTACACACAATCACCACAGAGCAATATCCCCAACAAAACGATATTTAATGAGAACATATACTAAATTGTTATGAATATAATAATATCTTTGTGGATGTCGATATATCTCCCACTATCTCTTATATCTCCTATAGTTTCTAATATCTCTCATTATCTCTATATCCCTCAATTATCTCATATTATCATGTAATCTGTAGATTCTATCGAAGGTGTAAAGCTGTGTCTATAAATAGAGGCCATGTATAATGTATTAAGCACACTTGAATGGAATGAGAAATACTCTCTCTTCTTGATCCTCTCTTCCTCTGTATGATTCTTTTCTCTATTTCTTCTTTATTTATAACACGTTATCAACACGAAGCTCTAATCAAGGTACGTATAGTATACTTTTCTACCCCATCATAATTTTAGAGCATCATCTTTATTATTTTTCTAGAGTATCATTTGCTCTGTTTAAATAAAAATACCTCGAGCATCATATATATGGAGTTTCAGAGTATCCGTATTCCTATTCAATTTATCTAGGATAATCTAAGCCATTATATGGAATTAAAAGGATTATCTACCATTGTTTTAACATAGGGTTCCATGACTATAATGGGAGATTTTTTTTCCCCCTCTATTTCTTATTGACATGATGTCACTATTTCGATGGAACCCGAAATTTCAATAGATACTAGTAATATCCATAAAGATTTACCATCTAAAGTTAAATGGCTAGAAGTCATATAATTTTAAGTTTTCATCTCATTGTAATTAAATGACCAAAAGCCATATAACTCAGATTTTCCATTCTTTTCAAATTAAATGGCTAAAAGCCATATGATTTTGATGTTCTATATTATAGCCAGAAGCTATACAACTTTGAGTTTTTATCTTATGGCTAGAAGCTATATATATATAGGGTTAATTCTCTATTTTTTTAAATGACTTGAAGCCATATATATTTGATATTTTATCTTGTTAAATAACTCAAAGTATTTAGGTATAAATTTTCATCTTATGGCTAGAAGCCATATATATTTGATTACTGTTATCTTATTAAATGGCTAGAAGTCATGTAATTTGAATTTTCTATTTTATGGCCAAAAGCCATATATATAATTTTGTTTTATCTTATTAAATGGCTAGTTGCCATAGAAATTTGATTTTCTATCTTACAGTCAGAAGCCGTAGATATTTGATTTTTTTTATCTAATTAAAAGGCTAGAAGCTATATAATTTGTATTTTCTATTTTATGGCCAGAAGCCATATGTATATTTAATTTTTCTTTATTTATATATATCATGTTGAAATTTTTATTTTATAGCCAGAAGCCATTTATATATATTTAAATTTTCTTTTATCTTATTAAATGGTTCGTATTCATATAATCTTGATTTTCTATCTTATGACTAGAAGTCATAAATATTTAATTTTGTTATTTTATTAATTGGCTTGAGGCCATATGACATCAAAGTTTTATCTTATAGTCAGAAACCATATATCTTTAATTTTTTTATTTTGAAATTAAATAGCTAGATGCCATGTATCTTTATTTTCTTTATTAAATGGCATGAAGCCATATAGTTTTGATTATGAGAAGGATCATTACATAGTTTGTTTATTAAAAAAAATTATGACAATTAGAATTATAAATAATGTAGCCCAGAAGACTAATGACTATATAGTGAAGGATGTATTGGTAAAAGAGTTTATCTTTTCTTTTTATTTCATGTTACATTTAATTAATTTGAAATTCAAGTTTTATTTTTATCTTATTCTCATATATTTTCGACATTCAATTTGACATTTATTAATATTATAATTTTCTTATTACTAAATGGCCAGCAGCCATTACACTTATGTTATTGAATGACATGAAAATAATAATTTATGATGTTTTTAAAACCCTGAAGGCTTATGGTTTAAATATGAAGTGACACAAATAATCTTTAAAAATATATATAATTTCCAATATAGAGTCTTAAAGACTAATCCCTGAAGGCTTATGATTCAAATCTTCCTAACTATATAGCTTGATTTTAGTCCTTTTTTTTTTTTGTTGAATTTATAAATTTATGAATAAGTTTTGAAGCATTACATAATATATACAAAGAAATAAAGTTTTTGAATAACAAAATATCGAGAAAATATATATTTTTTGTTCAAAAAAAAATACTTCATATTTTGAAAAAAAAAAGGGTATAACAAAAAGTGAAGTATATCATATAGTGAAATAATAATATATTTTAGTTCCTGAAGAATTATATATAGCATTTTTTTGGAGGAACTATATGTAATCAAAAAATTGATATAGTTCCAGAAAGACTAATAACAAAATATTGATATAGTTCTAGAAGAACTAATAGCAAAATGTTGATATAGTTCTTGAAGAACTAGTAACAAAATTGATATAGTTTTTGAATAACTAATGTAATTCCCCCCATTATTTTTGTGGGCAGAAAAGAAATTGATAATGAAAAATTATGACCCACAAACATTTATATTAGAATATTTACTTATCAAAGGGTCTTAAGGTGATAGCTTAATTGGATTGAAATCTATTATTATATATGAATCAGGAAGCATTTGGATTTTCAAGTTAAAGATATGTTATTAGCTTACTATATATTATTCACTGTATTTGAAATACAGAAATAAGAAAAATACTTGAGGGGGAGATTGTTGAAATATAAGTGTGAATCATATTGGATAGAATTTGTTATTATTAATATTAATGTCATTCCTTATATTTCGTATTTTTTTTTAAAAAGGCTCCAGAAGAGTCAGTGACGCTCAACCTTCCATGAGTGCACAAGTCTTTATCATTAGGTAAAAGATGAAAAATAATGCTCTAGAAGAATATCTGCAATCAATATTAAAATTAGTATCCTAAAAGTGAATTCTACAAAAACACCTATTATTGAAATGAATCTCACACGTCTTCATAAAATTAACAAAAATTTCTTTGAGAGTAAAGAAGATACAAATTCCACATGTACATATATTTGTTTATTTATTTTTGTTAGGCACACATATGTGTCCTTTTATTAGAAATAAACGGTAAAGTAATAGCCCAATTCACATGAACCCAAAAAGATATTGGGCTGAAATTGAAACTAGCCCAGTTTGATATAGGACTAGGACAGACTCGTCTCAGTAAAATGGGTGGGACGGAATTTTCATCTCGTGTCTCGTCAAAGTTAACAAGACCAAGAGGGGACATGGGACCGGATAGGATATCCAGTTTCTTTTTTCTTTTTTGACAAACCACTGTAATTCTAGGCCTAGATCTTGTTTTTTATGTTGTAATGTTTGTTTTTTATTAGGTTTCTGAAGATAAAATACTAAAAAAAATAATTACGTAGAAAGCCTAATTTATACATTCTGTAAACCTTGTAGCGGTTTTGTGATTGGTCCACATGACGATCTTAGGTGGTGGTTTCTTTTGCACCTTATTGGTTGTTGGGTGATGATGTGAGCCTCTTGTTATATAATGTAAAAAAAGTGTAAAAACAATACTGTGGAAAAGAACTATCATAAAAGAAATATTATATAATGGCCTTATAAATTATTTTATTAACGACTGAGATTTTTATTGAAATAATAATGCAACTTAAGAGTGGAAAATCATTATAAAAAACAATTATTCTTAAAAAATAAATTGAATAATCTAATAATAATTATTAGTAAGTAACTTTTAAAAAACAACCCGCGATTTGGCCTGCTCTCGTCCTAGTCACTGTTTTGTCCCATTCCGTAGTCGTCCCATCCCAAACTATTTTTTGTCCTATCCTTTTCTAAATTGACCTTGACCGAGACTAGGACAAGATGATCAGGATGGAACAAGTTAAAACCCCCCTAGAGACATTGTGTCACCGGAAGCATGCACTATCTTGACAAAAAAAAAAAAAAGAGCAATTCTGTCAAATGTAATTTATAACTTAATTTATGTTTTTATTGCCAGGATAAATTAAATTTGGGGGAATTGCAATTAGATTTCAAGAAAGGGATTTAATTACTTTAAATCATTGACAACTTAGTAGCATGCAATGACAAGTTCTAGTATAAAAAATGACAACTGGTTTATGTTGCTTATTTATTATTATTGAGATTTTTTGATAATTAAATTTTTTTCTTCAGCAACTCATAGTAGTTCTCCTATTAAATTTTATATTCAACAAATTAGCTGTGATTTATGGAAGAAAGTGCCCGCATAATTTTTAAGTTCAATTTGGAGGTACTTTCTTTGTGAATGATTAATACTACTACTTTACTACCTCAAAGGGGCTAGGAGTTGGGAACCGTGTTTAGATGGAATTTATTTTCAATCTCCATCGCAGTCTCTTCTTTCAAAATTCAACCCAGCATTAGTCGCCACATATTAAAATATACTCCTCTAGTTCTATTTATAAGGCACTTCCAACAAGTTTCACACAGACCAAAAAAAACCTTAAACTGCATTAACTCCTCATTAAAATATAGCAACTTTCTAACTTTACCCCTATTTAATATATACCTTTTTCAAAAAAGTAACTATCTACATTATAATAAATGAAGGACAACATGGTAAAGTCATAGTAAAAAGTTAATGAGGTGACTTATAAATAGGACCAAAAAAAACTTCTCTCTCTGCTCTATAAATAGGACC